CATACTCACATCCATACATGCACAAAATGCTCAAACACCTCACATGCATGCATTTTATCAAACACCTTACATGAAGAATATCAGTTGCTACAAAGACAATAGTTGTAAACAACTAACCTAATTAGCCCTAAATACTCATCATTAGAAACACATTCATCTAAATGAATATGAGATATCATAATGACAACCTCAAGTCCTATAGAACAACGTCCCACAAACAAACTAAAAATCTAGCATTCAAAAGCAAATGCATATGTAAAAAGGAACATAAAGGCATTGTAAATGCAAGAATTAATCTATAGATAAACTAAATGGAAGAATTAATCTAGAGATCAACTAAATGGAAGAATCATTGTCATCAATCCCATTATCCTAAATTATCCAAAAAAAAAATAATGAAGAACACACACACATTTGTATGGTAGGAAATTAACAAACTATTTAGGAAAATATGGAGGAGTTAGAGCATACAACTTTTCTACATAGAGAACAAAAAATTAACAAATTACTAATTACATAACCCAATCGTTATTATAATCATAATCATAATCCACACACAATTGCACTTGAGAACGAAAAACATGCTTTAGCAACATCATAAAATAGGATCAATTTTTCCATAGTTTTTGCCAACGATTACCACACGCCATTGATTACCACCCACAAAACAAATCACCAGCCGTCTAATATTATGAAACTCAACAAAGTTGCATGTATAGATTCCTTGACAGATGTTGATTGGACTGATGCATATATAGTTTTACAGAAAAACTTATGCAATAGTAAGGTTAAAAATGAAAAGCGAATTGAAAAATTAAAAAAAAAATTAATTGTGGTTAAATGAATGATTGATTCTTGCACAATCGGCCCAAAAACCTGGGCTAATGGTTTTTTTTCATTTGCCTCTGCTAGGCATTTTATCAAATAGTTTATGTCCAAGGTGGGGCAGTGGGTTGTGTTTGGTGGTCACGGGGGAGAGGAGGAAAGAAGTGGATGCAGTAGTCAGCTATTTTGGTCTGGTAATGTTTGTGGAGTGATTTTGTGAGCTGTGGGGGTGGGTTTGATGGGTCTATGGTCGGGATATTCGATGGTGGATTGAGGGGCAGGGGGTAATGCGATGGTGGCAGAAAGAGACAGAAGGGGGAGGGAGAAGAGGAACATGGAGTCAACTAGAAGAGGTAGAGGGAGGGGAAGAAAGAGATACCTAGGGTCGGTGATGGTCAGTGGCACAGGCGGTGGAGACAAAAGAGGTGGAGGACAATAGAAAGTAAGAAGTGAGGAATTAACACCCAATTTCAAAACCCTAAACTAACATCCAATTCAAAAGCCTAGATTAATAGATTGGGAGTGCAGTGATGTGTGTGTGTGTGTGTGATTGTGTGCATGCGTGCTCAGGGTGGGAGGGTGGGGGGTTGTTTGTTTGACTCTATGTGTGTGTGACTGTGTGTGCATGTGTAGAGAGGGAGGTAAGAAAAAGAGGAGAGAGAGAGACAAAGAGAGCTTACCTGGACGGTCGTGTCATCGACAGTGGGGTGGTTGGTGACGGGCGAGAGGGAGTAGAGAGGTTGCAAAGAAGGAGACACAGAGGGAGAGGGAGAGGGAGAGGGAGAGGAAGAAGAAGAGAGACGTTGGGGATTATGTGTCAAACAATTGAGTTGGGCACTGTGCAAAAGGTTTAGGCAGGATCAATTTTGTCTAAGATGTATTGTGATCCTTTGATTTAAATTAGAATAATGGAGATGAAATCTGGGCCATTAAATTAAAAGTAGATTAAATTTGAGCCTTTCTTGTGCTTTCCCAACTTTAGAGTTTTTTTTTTGATCAAACTTTAAAGATTCAAATATGATTTTATCTTATTATTATAGATAGATATAGGGAGAAGGTAAGAGAGATGTCTATAAAGATGACTTCTCTTTTTTTGGCTAAAAAGGGAAGGGGAGGGGAGGGGAGGGGAGGGGAGGGGGGAGAATTGTGCCATAGTCGGACCAGTCCATCTAAATATGGGCAATAATCGGGTTGAAGAGTTTGGATAAAAAGTTTAGTTAAACTCAATTGAATTATTTATAACTTTGGTTGAATTTGGGCGGACTATTTATCTGTTCGAGTTGCATCCCAAGTGAAAATAGAAAGCAAAAGTTGTGGAGAAGACGAGACTTCCATACCTCAAGGAAGTTTATCTAGTGGAAGACTTGGTCAATAATCAATGGTAGGTCTATTAATTAATGGCAATCCTTAAATTTTGATCATATCCGTCAATATTCTTGTCATGAACGGCTTACCCAAAACAATAAAATAACAGAGTTAAGTATCTATTTGACCTATGAATTACATTATTTGTATCAATTTAGCCCCTAACTTATGCTTTGTGTCAATTTAGTCCCTAAACTATTACATTTGTGTCAATATGACCTTGCTGTCCAAATTCGTCGTTAAGTTAGACGAAATTCCTCACATGCACAACACGTAACTCCTAAACTATACCCTAATTATCTTTGAAGATGATTCAGTGATAGTAATTAAATTGATCAATAACTTTATAGAAGACTTTGCTCTGTTAGCTGTTGTGGTGGAGGATATTAGGAAGGAGTTGCATAAATTTCGGTGATCGAAGTAGTATTAGTTTGCAGGACTGCTAATAAAATAACACATTATTTAGCTATACACGCTAATTTTCTTAAGAATTATGATGCACGGACGTAGCAGACACCTGAGTTTATAATGTTCCTGCTTTTATCAAATATTTCTCATTAATAAAATATTTATCGTTTCTTTCAAAAAAATATTTATCATGTACTAAATCCAATCCCTCTCAATTATCAATCTTTATCAATTTGTATAGTGTCGTGTGATCCACGTATTGGGTATTTTAGTGTCGCATCATTGTTATTTGTGTTGTGTTTGAGTCAAAACCTACGAAAAAAAATTTATTGAGTGTGTTTTAAGTGTTAAATGTTAATTTAGACCATAAATTATGCGTATTTAATAGTTGTGTCAATTTAGAATCGTGTTCTGACGGGTTCATGTCAACGAGTCAGAGTTGATACCCCTATCAATAACCAATATGTCACATGTTCTTTGAGATAAATAGCACACGGTGCAGTTGGGCCAAATCGGCACTGTCTAAGTTTGTTTTGCACATTAGAATTTAGCCTCAAAAAAAAAGTCACCGTTTGGTAGAGACTCCTAAAAGTAAAGCTTTTACCCTTGCAAGACTCCTAAAACTAAAAAAGTTCTACATTAATTTCTTCAATATTAGTTTCTTCCATTTTAATTGTTGTGAGTGTTACTTGAACCAAGTTTGTTGAGCTTAAGTATGTTCAAGCACAACTAGGTTTTAATTGGTTGAGTACAAGTTTGAATTGACCTCAGGTGTCGAGTTTTGTTATTGCTCAAACTTGACTTAGACAAAAGTTTGCAAGCATTCGAGTTGAACTTCAGCCCCAATCGAGTTCAATTTCCTAGCAGTAGTCTTCAAAAATCAAATCTTAAAAATCAAGTTACCAATGATAGTGGGTATCTTAAACCCAAGATTGGTGTTACTGATCCCATACCCTCCTTGAGTGGGTATTATAGAAAAATAATAAAAATCTAAAAATCAGCTTCTTCCTAAAATAAAATACATAATTTAAATCAACATATCTTCTGAAATCAAGATCATTCTCAAAAGTAATTCATTCAGATTACCGACAATAATTGAACACTAAATATATGATTACTATAATAATTAAAATTAAAGTGTTTGGGAGGAATGAAACATGAGAATGAAATTTTCATTACTTAATAATGCTCATTCCAATGTTTGGTAGGTAGGATTGAAAATTTATTCTGATTCCCATAGAATGTCTAATCTCATCAACATAGAATTTGTCATTTCTTAATATTTGATAGTATCTCATTCCCAACTATCATCACTAATCACTAACACCACTACCACTATCACTACCACTACCACTACCACCACCTGGGGTCGGGGTCGGGGTCAGGGTTGGGTTGGGTCCAGAGTAGGGTCGGGGTCAGGTCCAGGTCTAGGGTCATGTCTAAGTATTTTTTAAATATTTATTTATCTAATTATTAAAGTGAATTTTTAATTCTATTCCGGCGTTTAATCTTAGTTGTTAACAAATATTAGAATAGTTATATATATTTTACTCTCACCTTAATTGCATTCTCTTTATAAAAGTATTATCACATACCAAAAGTAACTTACTGTTGAGGTTGGAATCTTTTCATGTTAGAATAAATGTGTTGGGCGCCATTCACGGGATTTGGAAAAAAACGGAAGGAAACAAGTAGTGGGTGGGGTAGACATTGCATAAAAATTTCATAGCGTGTACGACCCGGCCAAAGACTAAATGTAACTCACTTTTCTTAGAAAATTTAATTATAAATGCCCAGAAAATAAAATAACCACTTTACATCTTTATAGGGAGAAGGTAAGAGAGAAGTCTACAAAGACGACGTCTCTTTTTTTGTCTAAAAAGGGTAGAGAAAAGGGGGGAGGGGGGAGGGGGGCAATTTGTGCCATTTTCGGACTAGTCCATCTAAATACGGACAATAATCTTTTTTTTTTCTTTTGGGGGAGAGAGGAGAGGGGATTTGAACCCTTGACTTCAAAAAAACAAAATCTTCATAAGGCAAGAAGTATTATTAGACTAAAAGCCCATTGGTAACAATAATCAGGTTGAAGAGTTTGGATTAAAAGTTTAGTTAGGATTGAGTTCAATTGAATTCTTTATAACTTTGGTTGAATTTTGACGGAGTATTTATCTATTCTGTTTTTTTTTAAACCAAACACGGAAGATTTCCAAGCATTCACTAATAGGATGCAACAAGCTTAATAAATACAGCATACTTCATAATTTACACACACAGTTTAACAGTTGTAAAACCACCAAATCCCCACGAAAAGAGAAGTAAAAGACACAGGCTAATGCAAATGTGCGGAGAATGGAAAATCCATTGGGATGAAACATGATGGTGAGACACAAAAAGGAAGGATCTTAAGCCCTGCTCTTGAAAGGAATGGCTCTGATGACAATCTGGTGGTACAAAGCAGCAAGAGCAGCTCCAATGAAGGGTCCAACCCAGAAAATCCATTGGTCATCCCATGCGTGGTCTTTGTTGTAAATGATGGCGGCATCAAGACTCCTAGCCGGGTTGATGCCAGTTCCTGTAATGGGGATGGTGGCCAAATGAACCAAGAACACTGCAAACCCAATGGGAAGAGGAGCCAAAATAGGAACATGGGAGTCTCTGGCGCTTCTCTTGGCATCAGTGGCAGAGAAGACAGTGTAGACAAGAACAAAGGTGCCAACAATCTCAGCACCAAGACCATTACCCTTAGTGTAGCCATGGTTCACAAAATTAGCCCCACCATTCAATGCCTCATATTCTTTTTTCTGGAAACCCTTAACAACACCAGCACCACAGATGGCACCAAGGCATTGCATCACCATGTAGAACACAGCCCTGGTTAGAGAAAGCTTCCTTGCCAGAAACAAGCCGAAGGTTACAGCTGGGTTAATGTGTCCTCCTGAGATACCAGCAGTGCAATAGACAAGAGCAAAGATCATACCACCAAAGGCCCAAGCAATTCCTTGTATACCAACAGAGGCACACTTAGTAGGTGCTCTACCCACACCCATCACAGTCAAGATTGATTTGTACAAGAACAAGAAGGTAGCCATGAACTCTGCAATACCAGCCCTGTAAAAGGACCATGATGACAACTCTCCGGGCTCAAACAAGGGTGCTGGTGGTGGCTCCTTGTAGTCTTTGTCTGTCTGCGCAGATGTGCCTATGGGTTGTCTCTCTGGGAACTTGTTGGCTCCAAGCTTAACATCCTCTTCCTTACCCTCCATTCTTACTCACCACTATTTATCTATTCGAGTTGCATCCCTAGTGAAAATAGAGAGGAAACTTCCATACATAAAGCTAGTTCATCTAGTGGAAGAAATAACCAATTCGTTTCGATCATCAATCTTTGTCAATTTGTGTCAAAATTCACGAAAAAATATATATTTAGTATGTTATAAGTATTAAATATTAATCTAGACCATATATTATGCGTATTTAATAGTCATATTAATTTTAAAATAGTATTGTGACGGGTTCGTGTTGACGGGTTAGAGTTGACCTCCCTATCAATAACCAATATGTCACATGTTGTTGGGAACAAACAGGCGCAGTTGGACAAAACCGACACTGTCTAAGTTTGCTTTGCACATTAGAATTTAGCCTTAAAAAAAGGGTCACCGTTTGGTTGAGATTCCTACAACTAAAGCTTTTACCCATGCGAGACTCCTAAAACTAAAAGAAGTACTTCTACATTAATTTCTTCAATATTAGTCTCTTCCGTTATAATTTTTGTGAATGTTACTTGAACTAAGCTTGTCGAGCTTAAGTATGTTCAAGCTCAACTAAGTTTTAATTGGCCGAGTACAAGTTTGAATTGAACTCAGGTGCCGAGCTTTGTTAATGCTCAAACTCGACTTAGACAAAAGTTTGCAAGCATTCGAGCTAAACTTCAGCTGCAATCGAGTTCAATTTCCTAGCAAAAGTCTTCAATAATCAAATCCTGAAAATCAAGTTACCAATGATAGTGAATATCTAAAACCCAAGATCGGTGGTAGTAATCTCACACCCCCCCTCGATTGGGTATTATTTAAAAATAAAAAAATCTAAAAATCAACTGCTTCCTAAAATATAATACATAACTAAAATCAACATATCTTTCAAAAATCAAGATCATTCTCAAAAGTAATTCATTTCTCAGAGTAGGTTAAGTTCATTTATGAAAACAATCATTAAAGACATTAACTTGCATATTAGATTACCAACAATAATTGAACACTAAACATATGATTACTATAATAATTAAAATTAAAGTGTTTGAGAGGTGGTAATGAAGCATGAGAATGAAATTTACATTACTTAATAATGCTCATTCCAATGTTTGGTATATAATAATGAAAATTCATTCCTATTCCCATAGAATGCCTAATCTCATCAATATAGGATTTGTCATTTCTTAATATTTGTTAGTATCTCATTCCCAACTACCATTACTAATCAGTATCACAGCCACCACCACCACTACCACTACCACTACCACCACCCCACCACCACCTGGGGTTTGGTTCGGGGTCAGGTTGGGTCCAGAGTAAGGTTGGGTTAGGTCCAGGTCTGGGGTCATGTCTAAGTATTTTTCAAATATTTAGTTATCTAAATATTTGAGTGAATTTTTAATTCTATTCCAATGTTTAATCTTAGTTGTTAATAAATATTAGAATAGTAATATATATTTCATCACTAATGTTATTTGGACATAATTTAGGGATAAAATTTGAGGACTTAATACATTATGACCATTGGATTGATAGTGTTGGGACCCAATAATAATTTAATGTTGGGACTCACTGACAATTTAATGATTACAATCATTAAGTCCCTAAATTATGTCTCAATAGCATTACTCTCTCACCTTAATTGCATTCTCTTTATAAAAGTATTATCGCGTATCAAAAGTAGCTGATTATTGAGGTTGAAATCTTTTCATGTTGGAATAGTGTGTTGGGCGCCATTCACGGGATTTGGGAAAAAAGGGAGGAAAAAAGCAGTGGGTGGGGTAGACATTGCATAAAAATTTCATAGTGTATAAGACACGGCCAAACACCAAAGTGGCCCCCTTTACTTAAAAATTTCATAGTGTGAATTCTTTATAATTTGTGTTCAATTCAGACGGATTACTTACCTGTTCGAGATGCATCCCTAGTGGAAATCGAACGGAAAAAGTGGTGTAGGTGGCGGAACCACTTTCGTACATAAAGCGAGTTCATCTAGTGGAAGACTTGGACAATAACCAAAAGTAGGTCTATTAATTAATGTCAATCCTTATCTTGATCATAGCAGTCAATATTCTTGCCTGAAAGTCTTACCTTCAAAAAAAAAAAAAAATTAGTTTGAATTATATCATTTGTGTCAATCAAATTATTGAACTAAGTTTTGTATTAATTTAATTCCTAAACTATAACATTTGTGTTAATATAGCCATTCCGTCCTAGTTCATTGTTATGTTTGATGAAATTTCTCACGTACATAACACGTAACCTCTAAATTATACCATAGCCCCCGACTAACATGATACGCACAAGAGAAATTCTGTCAAACTGAACTGCGAATTTCAACGGAAGGGTCATATTCACACAAATTATAATTCAAGAACTTGATCGACACAAATAAGATGATTTAAGGGCCAAATAGATAGTTAACTCAAAATAAAAAAAATTCTTGCTGTGAAGCTTCCTTCGAGCGTCCCTATAAATATCTGAATAATCAGTTATAGGTATGCATATTTTCCTAGCCGAGTCTTCTTTGCTATATGAGTCCATATTCCAAACGAAATACCCTCATGAAGAAATTCCTTTTCCTCTTTGCCACAACACTTTTGTGGGTAAACAGTTTCATGGCTTGCTTTGCCAGGACTGAAATTAACTTGATTACCGATCAGTATGCTCTTCTTGCCTTCAAAACTCAAATGAAGCTTGACCCTCAAAACATTCTAGTAAACAATTGGTCGACCACCACCCCTGTATGCAACTGGATTGGTGTCTCTTGTGGTGTTCGTCACCAAAGAATCACGGCCTTGAATCTTTCTAACATGAGTCTTAGTGGCGCCATTTCTCCACATCTAGGAAACCTCTCATTCCTTGCTTCCCTGAAACTTAATGACAACAAATTCCATGGTCATGTCCCTGTGGAGTTAGCTCATTTGCGTCGATTGAAAGAAATTGATTTGGGAAATAATTTCTTGAGCGGGGAGATTTCATCATGGTTTGGGAGATTACCAGAACTTCAATACTTGAATATGAGTTATAATAATTTCTCGGGTGCTATCCCCGCTTCCTTAGGAAACATCACTAGCCTAGTTGTGATGCAATTATCGGTCAATTATCTACAAGGACATGTTCCAGAAGAGATTAGTAACATTTCCAACCTAAAAATATTGAGATTGGGTGGTAACCAGCTCTCTAGTTCCATACCTTTCATCTTCAACATGTCTTCGTTGGAATTGATAGCTCTTGCACGTAATAAATTATCTGGTCCTATCTCAGGAGATATTTGTTCTCATCTTCCTAAACTTAGACTGCTCTCTCTTTCTTATAATCACTTCCAGGGTCTTTTTCCATACAGTTGGGACCGATGTGAGAATCTTGTGTATTTAGGATTTAACACTAACAAAATCACAGGAAGCATACCTAGAGGAATCGGCAATTTGACTACGCTTAAGTATTTGGATCTATCACAAAACACATTGAAAGGTAAATCTCTGCACCTTGTGTCATGATTAATGTAGCATATTCATATGTGTTTTATAAACAAGCATATCTGTGTCAGGGATGGCCACACGTTTGGCCGAACACTAATATATAAGCATAGTAGCAATATGCCTATTTCGGAAAATTGATAGTGCTAAGCCAAGGATACAACTAGTGTTAAGCTTAGGCATCGCATCATAGTAGTTAATTTTTTACCCTGGGATTCTAAAAAATTGATCGAAGCCTTTCGTAACACCTCCACATATTCCAAAACACCTCAAAACACTTCCATAGTTAGGAATTTCATGTTTGATTAGTTTTTTTTGTTTTGATAGAACCGAAACAAAATTTTATTATTGGATTTGTGGAAATTGTCGATCCATGATTTAGTAAATGTACTAAATGGTGCCTCACACTCCTTGACAAGAGGACGAACTCATTTTTTTAGTCTAATATAAAGTTATTAGGGATAACTCGTGTCTTAAGGTACGGTGTAATGTGAATATTCTTTTTGAGCTATTGAGAGAGATGTTGGTAGCCATTGAATGAGTTTATTTGAGACCATCAGATGGACTCATTGAAGTTTGCACTATTTTATATTATAGATTAACCTAGACCAAATAGCGGGTGATTTGAGCCTAATAGCCGAGCTTGCATCAAGGAAGGTAGTCATTCGGCACAAGCAAGATAAAGCTACCTAAAAAAGGAAAAGTGAATCAATTTAGGGACGGAAATAAGTTTTCTATCATAACAGATGAGATAACTAAGGTAAAACCCATGCAATAATTTGACGAACAAAGTATAATTAACTCTTTATTAAATAGTCAATTTGTTTTACATTTGCAGGTGCCATACCACGAGAGATTGGAAATCTTCACAATTTGATTTTGTTAGATATAAGTTTCAACAGACTTAGGGGTCTTATTCCAGATTCAATTTTCAACAGCACAACAATAGGTGCCATTTTCCTTCAGGCCAATTATCTTTCAGGCACTCTTCCATCAAGTATGGGCCTTCGGTTACCCAATCTTGAAATAATCGCACTTGGAGTGAATCACCTAACTGGAATTCTTCCGGACTCTATCTCTAACGCATCTAGAATCGTTGAAATCTGGTTGGACGTCAACCAATTCACCGGAACAATACCAAAATCACTTGGTAACCTAGAACTTCTTGAACGCCTTGAATTGAGTGAAAACAACTTCACTAGAGAATCTTCATCTATGGAGTTGAGTTTCATCACTTCTTTGACAAATTGTCGACAACTAAGGAAATTGTGGATATCTCATAATCCTCTTGATGGCATTCTTCCAGTTTCTATTGGAAATTTCTCTACTTCTTTTGTTCATTTGCTCGCAAACTATTGTGAAATTAAAGGCAACATTCCCAACCAGATCGGAAATTTAAGTCATTTGGCATTCTTGGGACTAGAAGGCAATGACATTCATGGCTTCATTCCAACAACAATCAAAGGGTTGTGGAAGCTTCAAATTTTGCGTCTTCCTCAAAATAGAATACGAGGATCCATTCCAAGTGAACTTTGTTATTTAAGGAGCATGGGCCTTTTAGATTTGAGCAAAAATGAGTTTGACAACTCGGTGCCAATGTGCTTGGGAAATATTACTTCTTTAAGATATCTCTATTTAGATTCCAACAAATTAACTTCCAGTATACCCAAGAAACTATGGGGACTCAAGGATCTTTTGGAGCTCAATTTGTCCTCAAATTCCTTCATCGGCAATTTGCCCCTAGAAATTGGAAGTTCAAAGATCCTGACAAAAATAGATCTCTCAAGGAATCAGTTATCAGGTATTCTTCCTGGCACTATTGGAGGCCTACAAGATCTGTTGACTCTATGTTTAGCACATAACAAATTGCAAGGACCACTTTCTGAGTCACTTGGCGACTTGATAAGCCTAGAGTTCCTAGATTTATCTTCTAACAATATATCTGGAACGATTCCAAAGTCTTTAGAGGTGCTCTTACATCTTAAATACCTCAATGTATCTTACAATAAACTAAGAGGAGAAATTCCAAATGGTGGACCTTTTATAAACATCACTTATCAATCTTTTATCTCAAATGATGATTTATGTGGTGCACCTAGGTGGCGAGTGCCTCAATGCAAACATAGTTCTCTTCAAAGATTGAGCAAGAAAAGAGTGCGTCTAGTTGTATATATCTCGTTGGCGGTTGGGACAACAGTCCTTTCCTCGACCTTGATATTCATTTTGATGAGACGAAAAAGGAGAAATTACATTGCTACTGAGAATGGTTTGTTGCCTGCATTAATCCATGGAAGAATTACCTACTATGAACTTCGACGAGCAACTCACGAGTTCAATGAAAGCAATTTGCTTGGCATGGGCAGTTTTGGTTCAGTCTACAAAGGGATCCTTGCAGATGGGACGCATTTGGCTGTAAAAGTATTCAATTTTCGACTAGAAGGCGCACTCAAGAGCTTTGATACAGAATGTGAAGTATTGCGCAATCTTCGCCACCGAAATCTTACCAAAGTCATTAGTAGTTGCTCTAATCTTGATTTCAAAGCGATTGTGCTTGAGTATATGCCAAATGGGAGCCTTGAAAAGTGGTTGTATTCTCATAACTATTTCTTGGACATCTTGCAGAGATTAGATATAATGATAGATGTGGCACATGCATTGGATTATCTCCACCATGGCTACTCGATTCCCGTGGTTCACTGTGACTTGAAGCCTAGCAATGTTTTGCTGAATGAGCATATGGTTGCACATGTGAGTGACTTTGGCATTGCAAAGTTATTGGGTGAGGAGAGTACTGTACTAACCAAGACCTTGGCTACCTTGGGCTACATTGCTCCAGGTGATGCTTTTAGCTTCTACTCTTATTTGTGTTCGAATTCTCTTTTTTGCGTTGATTGTTCTTTGGGAATATAATAGTCTATAAAGAGTTACATTCCTTACAAGCATTATAATTTTGTTGATGAAGTGTATGATGGATGTAGAGTATGGATTGGAAGGACTAGTCTCTACAAGGGGTGATGTTTACAGCTATGGAATTATGCTGATGGAAACCTTTACGAGAACGAAACCCTGTGATGAAAAGTTCACTGAAGATTTTAGCCTCAAGCAATGGGTGGATAATTCCTTACAAAATGCAATACTCCAAGTTATTGATGCCAACTTAGTAAGGCCAATGGATGAACACTTGACTATGAAGGTGCAATGTGTAGCATCTGTCATGGAATTGGCTTTGAAATGCTCTGCAGAATTGCCTAAAGAGCGGATTAGCATGAGGGAGGTAATAACAACTCTTCAAAAGACCAGACTTGAGTTTCTTGCAAATTGTTAAAGGCCTTGAAACATGAAATCATTGTTCCACTTTCTTTTTCTTGTAATGTAGTCCTCATTGAAGCATGAGTATATAGACTAACCCCAAGAGGGTAAAATGGACTTTGCCATGTTTTGAACTCAGATCCTTCCCTTGAAGATATCATGCCAATAAATAACAAACAATGTTTATTCGAAAAAAATATACTCCTTACTCAAGTTCCAATTGAAGACCAAGGAAGACTATATTAATTCTGTAAGGTTAGTGTCAAATAAGAATAACACGATTTTGGTATGATAAACTTATTTGACTAACTTTTCGTAAAGAAAAGATTTATTTTGCATGTTCTGGAATGATATTAAACTTGCAAATATAGTAAATAGCAATACGTAAAACTTTTTATGTAATTCCAAATAAAACAATAACACACAAGAACAAAACAGTAATACATAAAATTGCAATAAATAAAACTAGTCCGATTGCAGACTAGAAACAAAAATTAAAATTTTAGATCAAGTGTTTGACACTATGTGCTTAAGACAAATTTCACCTCCACACTGGTGCTAATAGAAATCTCGACGTCTACCTCCTAGGATACTATGATCTTCATGCAAACAGAAGTAGCACTTCGATTTGCTTGCCCAACGAACCAAACTGTGTTGTTTACTCTCAGAAAATGGACATTGCTAATGCCAAATTTTTGTATGTAATGACAGAATGTGTTAAAAAAAATTGTTTTTGAATGCTAATGAATTTGGGTTAGTTATAGATTTAGAGGTGACTGTTTGAAAAAAATCTCCATCGAAAAAATCACTATAAATTTAGATCTCAAGGCTTGTGAATCACCACATGTGAATGAACAGTGGAGAAGAAGAGGGCTTGAAGTTGACCTTGGTGGAACTACACAATAGCACAGTGAATTGATAACAATGGTAGGGGTTGAAAGCAAGTAAGAGCATACAAATTTTAGTGGTTTACTTGCTAAAAAGCTTAGCTAATACACTCTAATATAGTTTCTGGCTCCTTGGAAAATTGTCTAATGCTGTTGAGGGTATATTGGGGCTTAGAGGCTATATTCTCTATGTGTGACGTGACTTTTTAGAGCACGCTGAGATGGCATTATGGCATGCCTTCAAACCTAGAAATGTTGTGGTCTTCCATACTTAAGAAAGAACACGCCATGAGGTCATTCTGCTTTGGGATGACCTCTTATTCTTTTAGTCCGCTAATGAGTGAGGGAGCTCAATCCAAAACATCTGTCTTGAGCCAGAGTCGCTGATTCTTCTGATGATGTAGCACGGATGACCTGGATACATGTACTTGGGGTTGTATTTGCTTGATTTGAGTTCCTTTGATTGAGGTTGAATGTGAACAACCTAGACATTTATGTATAGCTATAAGGTCGGGAGATAGACCTTGTTCATTAGTTCTTTCCACCAACCAGTTACTTAAATATTCTTCTATTTACTCTCGATGTAATTCGTGGATATCATTCGTCACCTTAACCCATTAGATTTTCAAAGAGGGCCTCTCAAGCATAAATTATTGGCAAAGCTCTCTTGGAAGTTTGTTTTTCCATTATCTTAGTGGGACTAGACTAATAAATATTCACTTAAACTGTCAAGATTCAATATTTTGTTGTTGTAATGTCATTCTAGAATTACGTTTAACGTTCCTTTATGATTTTTTTAATTGGCACAGTGGATTGGTAGTTATTATGGACCCAAGCTCAAGAAGGAAAAGAACAGAATAGAACGATGAGTTCATTCGGCACGGGCTCCAACTGCGAAATCCAGCTTGACTTTCTTTTGAATTACTTGTCGCCCTCTTGCGAGCTACCTCTCTTCATCTGCTCGTAGCTAGGTAGGGAACTGTTGTTGCAGTAGTTGCTTAGGGCTTAGAAAAGATAGTTTACTTGCTTGCTTGTTAGGGTAAGGCAGCAAAGCAATAACTAACTTCGTTCCTCTTCAAAGCCACGTTACCGAATAAAATATAATGGCCAAGCTCCTAGGATACCGATAAGGGAAATTTAGAAGTCGGTACAAAAATTTAAACTTAATTAGGCTAAACTATATTAAAAAAACTTATTTAACCTTAAGTGCATTTTTTAAAAAAAAAATACTGTAAGTCCATTCATTGCTCCATTACTCTCTCTTCTCCTCTCTCCATTACTCTCTCTCCTCCTCTCTCCATTACTCTCTCACTTTCTTTTCCCTATTTTCTCTCTCTCTCTCTATCTCCCTCTCTCCCCATTACTCTATCAATCTATCCCCTATTTTCTCCCCCTCTCTCTTTCTCTCCTATTGATAAATTATTTTCTTTTCAAATATATAAAGATTTGATTTGATTTCTAACCCCGGCTAGCGATACCGGCCAAGCATATTTTGGATGCCTTGTTTGTAAATTACTTCATGATTTGCAAAGATTCTCTTATTTTTTGTTTTTTTTTCTGGTTTTTAATCAGTATTTTGTCCGATTTATTTGTGAAAATTTTCCTAAGATCATAGAAAGTTTTTTTAGTGGTCCCTCCCACATCTTATATCTAATTTTCCCTTCCATTTTCTGCTATATGCTTTTGTCTAAAACTGCTAATTGCAAGATGGGTGAAGTATCTGTTTTCTGATTTGAAATGTAGACTCTATTCCTCCTAATTTTTTAGGAATGGTATCTTCATCTAATTTGAATAATGTAATTTCACTTCCCTCTCAGATATTATTGAACAAAAAGTTAAGGGCGTTGTAAGAGATTTGAATACCTCGTTAGTAAAAGGAAAAAAAATTACCAGTCACTGGGTTGGAAGTTTATACTTCCAATGGAAATACCTTGCTATGGCTAAAGATCTCATTAGAGTTTCCTCTCAAAATGCTTGGATAAAGGATATTTTAGAGATCTTTTAAATACTTGAAAAAAAAGAATAATAGTGATGAAATGGGTCGGCCAAAATACATTAAATCCAAGGACCCTATTAGCCTTCTTATTTTTCGGTACGGTAGACAACTCCTAAACTACACTTATATCTCGAATTTCACCAAAAGCAATAGGATAACATTTTAATATTTTTAAAAATAACATAGGACTCCATTAAAAGATTTTAATTGTGAAATAACTTGTTTGCAATTCAAAGACTCAATCAAACAATTTAGTCGAAATAAGTAAAAATCAACTGCATAAGAGAGAGAGACATAGAGAGAAAAAGAGAGACTAGCCTCCAGCAGCCTCAAAAGTCCCCTCGGTGCAATAGACCGCAAATCGTATTGAAAACACATTGCTATTCTTTTTCTTCTCTCCCACCCAGGACCACCCCCTCCATGTAAATCTAATAACAATCTGGTTAATCGGATCCACATATTATACCAAGACAGGGATGGTATATAATCGACCTAACTTCAATTTTCATATTATTGGTTTGAGAAAGGGTGAAGGAAGGAAGTGATATTGCTGCTCTCACTCTTGGGCACCGTTTGGTATGATAGAAAAATAAAAGGATGAAAAGTTGAATGGATGAAAAATTTAAATGATAAATAAAACATTATATTTGGTAACGAAAGAAAATAAAAATGATGGAAAAGTGGATGGATTAACTTTCCTTCCAACTCACCAAAATCAATCCCTCATAAATAGGAAGCAAAGTGGACGAAAAATTAATTATTTGTCTATATATCTTTTTATATATACATATATTATGTATACATTAATTTCATATAAAAATATAATGAGAAAATATGTATTTATATATATATTTTAAAAAATTTTAAAAATAAATTTAAAAATAAAAATAAAAGAATTAAAATTAAAATAAAAAAATTAAAATTAAAATTAAAAATTTTTAAAAATATTTTTTACATCTTTGTTAGCGGTGAAAATTTTCAACTCAACATGATGAGACGACTCGAACTTGACATGAATTTTATAATACGAACTTGATTATAACTCAACACGAATTTGAAAATGACCTGAACCGCGAACAAGAAATATAAACGGCTCATATTCAGTTCAACCCGTCAAACTCAAAATTGATACCATCAACCCGTTTATTTAAAAATAAATATTTTCTCTATTTTCTCGTTTCTATGGTAACACGAAATTAACACAACTAATATATTTAACCAGTGTTATTGACATAAAATGTTAGCTATTTGCAACTATTTATTAAGCACTGGCATAATTATTATATAAAAAAATATTACTTATTATTATATTTATTTAAGTTAATTTTTAGTTTGTAGAAAAAATATGAACATTGATTTAATTAAGTGAAAATATAATATTAGCATTAAATTTTTTATTCAAAGTTTATGTGGGTCAACACGAACACGATACAAAAATAAACAAGTCAACTCGACTCGACACAATTAGTCAAATGAGTTGAATTAAATTTGACTAATGTTCGACACAAACTCGCAATGACTCAACATGAACCTGACACGACACGACTCGATTATCACCCCTAATCTTAGCCAGCACAAAAAAAAATAAATTATTATTTTTATTTTTCATCCATCCTACCAAACACAAAGAAAGGAAAATATATCATTCCTACTTTCTTTACTCGAATGATAGAAAATATATCCTTCTTATTTTCCATCCTTCCTACTTTCTATCTTTCCTACCAAATGGAACATTTGACTGTATATGTTAGCACCTCTTTGGTTTGATTTTGGGTTGGTCATGGCTTAGTCTTGGTTCTCTTGCAACTTTTTGTGGTGGTGTTTTTTTTTTTTTTGGGTAATGGAGAAATTCTTGGTCTATCCCTAATAAGTAGATACGTGTTTATCTCACTCAGGCTTGTGAGTCTGATTAGAATTAAGGGCAAACCTCGGGTGCATAAACTGGTCCCTCAATCTATCCACCAGTTAAATCAGGTCTTGTGCTCTGTTGTATATTCAAATCTATATCAGAGACATGAATATGGTTCGTTCAAGCAACTGAAATATGTCCTGTCAACTAACTACATTTTTTGTCCCCAATAGACTTAAACTATTTAACCTTAAGAAGACAAAATTTTCATAAGACAAGTAGTACCATTGCACAAAAGATCTCTGGGAGAGGTGGTGTTTTGACTTGTATCTGGTCTCTGTTTCTTCATATC